TCAACGTAATGCTCAACATTTGGTGTTTCCATTCAGTTACCTGTTAGTCATCACTGTGTATAAGATAAACCAGTAGTTGTGGTGCATTACAGATGAATAATTTAAAGTGCAAGTGAATGGAAGTGGAACTTTACCCGGTTTGCAAAGAGAGGTGTTGTTAATAATAGATCGGACTCTATTGAAAGCTTTGACAGCAGCCATTTACAGTAAACACCCAAAAGCTGAAACTCCAGTTTTCTACTTTCCTAAATGACCTTATGGTTTCACCTGTATGTTCTAAACAGGTGAGTGTGAGAGATGAGAGGCAAACCAAACTGTTTTACATGAAACGTGAATATCCAAATTAGCTGCTTTGAAAGCTGAAAGTGGACAGCTGAACTGGCATTTTAGTGTGCAATCTTTACAGGTAGTTTGTCCTAAAGTTTCCGTCTTATTTCTCAGTTTCATTTGAACAGATTGGAGTTCTGCATAAAAGATTTAAGCAGCTGAGTCACAATGAAGAGACTCTACGGTAAGCTGATATTTCATTTGTTCTTGAAACAAATATTCTTTGGAGCGGGAAACCTGCTCTACAGGATTCTACGGTTGTGTCTCTTATGAATGAGCTACTCCTGAAAGTCTATTTTAAACCCTCAGGAGAGATCATTTCAATGAAATCGACGACCTAGCGTTCAATCCCATCCGCGCACAGATCATAGAGGCGTTTTTTGACAGAAGGTACAGTAATTAATCATTGCTTTTAATCATTTTACTTGTATTTTTCAAAATCATAAACAATTCTTACATTTAGGATGAAAAATGATGGAAGAAATTGTAGATTTAATGTATCAGTTGTTGTCAGTGCATTTGAGAGCATCTGATTTGCTGTTTTCTTCAGAAACTTCCATCAGAATGGCGAGGGAAAAGTTCAGGAGATTGGCTTTGAAGAGTTCGTGGTGGTCATGTCCCATTTTAGGCCGCCATCGGCGCACATGACAGAAGAGCAGCGTGGAAAGACCAGGAGAGAGAAACTGAGATGTACGTCTCAGTATAGATCGCATGAACTCGACTGCTTGACTTTTACCTGAAGATGACACAAAGTCAAACCTGCGTTTGTTTGTTTTTCTGCAGTTTTATTCAACATGCACGATACAGACAACGATGGGATAATAACTCTAGAGGAATACAGACATGTAAGCTCGGGGGAAGAAATGATCGTGCACAGTCACCTTAAGTTTATGATCATTCTCAACTGAGTTTTTAAGCTGTTTAAAAATACTGACTGTAAAAGTAAATTATCTTTGTGTTTTACATGTAACTCTAGTGCTGGGGTTATTAGCTCAATTTCCTCCAACGCAACTGATTGGCTGCCAGTAACAGACAGGATGATGCGATTGCAGCATTACAGAAGTGATATCTTACTTCAGCTGTTGTTCACGTCTGTTCAGGTGGTGGAGGAGCTGTTATCTCGGAGTGGGACACTGGAGAAGGAAACAGCCAAATGCATTGCTGATGCAGCCATGTTGGAGGTGGCCAGTATTTCAGTGGGTCACATGGTATGTAAGCTAAAGCATCTCAAGATAACATTAAGGTGTCTGGATAAAGTCAACAACTTCACTTTCTGGCACACAGGAGCCTGATGAATTCTATGAGGGCATCACATTTGAGCACTTCCTCAAGGTTTGTACACATAATGCACATTATTAAACAATATGCACTCGTTGGTCACTTTGTTAGGTACACTTTGCTAGTTTTCTGTTTGGTTTGCCTTAAGGATGGCCTTAACTCTTTGTACAGGCCATCTGAGTACAGTGAACTTATTGTCACGTTCAGGAAACCAGTCTGAAAAGAACTGAAAGATGGGTACACCGTGGTAGATATGGTCAGCAACAATACTCAGGGGCTCTGTGGTGCTTAAATGTTACTCAGCTGCGATGAAGGGAACCAAAATGTGCCAAGAAAATACCCACAACAACATTATTCCACCATCAGAGGCTTGAGCTGTCGGTACGAGGCACTTCATGTTATTGATACCAAATTTTGACCTCACCATCTAAATGTCATGGACAAAATCTAGGCTTATCAGACCGGGCGACGCTTTTCCAGTCCTTTGTCTGGTTTTTGGTGAACCCATGCAATCTGTAGACCATATCTACGTGCCTAAAAGCACCGAGGTGCTGCCATAGTTATTACGAGCATTTGATCAGGTGTGCCTTAAAAAAGTGGCTGATGAGTATATGTGTACGCTTTAACTTTCTTTTAACTGATCAGTTTGCATTTAAATTGGAAACTGGTACTAAATAACTGAGGTTTGAATGTAAATCTGTGTTTTGCAGTTGCTGGAAAGATTTGAAATTGAATCGAGAATGATCATTCGCTTTTTGAATATGGACACGACAACTTTGTGTAAGTGAGGTCGGTATGCTGAACCATGAGGTGCAAAATGACGTTTTCACTGTATTGTCTGTTTAAGTTTATTGCTCGCACTGAATATAAGCCTTATTCATGTTTGAATAACTATGCAAATCCTAAGACTATATATATACACATGCTGGATGTATTTGAAGTAATCTGACTGTTAGCAATACTTGAGATAATTACTACGCACTTCTAGCAGTTGGACAAAGCAATATTAATCAAATATCCAGTGCTAGCTAACCAACAATATGACTCTATGCATGCAAGTATGGATGCTTGATAAACATCTAAAAATGTTATTGCCATAAATCAATAAGTCTCAGTAGTCAGGGATATAAAGATCTGTCTTTAAATGTATCTGGATATGTCTCTATTAAGACAACAGCCTTTTATTAATGTCACAAACATGAACCTTCTTGGTGCATGCTCTTCATGTTGTACTTGCACAATAAATGACCCGATGAAACTGTCCTGACTTCAGTTCATGATGTGGATACTTGATAACAGGAAATGGGAGTGCTGTTCTGCATGAATAAATGCTTCACGGCAGAATCGGTTTAACATTTAAGAAGAAATTCATGATGTGAATTTCATTTAAGTCAAACCCCTTTTCATGTCAATTCTGCTTCGTCATGCAGCGGTCATTACTCCCTTTTATGGTAACTGGCTGTAGAGGGAAACAGTCTGGTTACATTAAATGTTGGAACTAAAGTGATCACAGGATGTCTCAGAAAAGTCAACGTACCCTGAGAATGGATGACTCATAGAAATGGTTTTCATTAATTGCTTTGTCTGTGGTATAGATTTTCCTTCCGATACTTATACTTGGCAACTTCTCTTTAATGATGAAAAGACGTCACAACACAAGGTTAGTCAGAGATCAAAGAGAAACCTTGTTTGGTGTCTGTAAGCTAACGGGCTTCGTGTGAGACTGTGACGTTCTGATGTACAAAAGCATCATTTTACAGCTTTACTCATTAACGAGGAACTTAAAATCGGGGAATAAAATCTTACGTTTGCAATCCTAGAAAGCAAGACTTTAAAAAAAATAGCTGGCAACTTAGGAAAGTGGAACGCATAAAATAGGAAGTCAGATTTTTCCTGGTGGCTGAGTGTTTACAGTATAAACCACATACAATAACCAAGGTATCCCTATTTTAAGTGTGGCTGAAAAATGACCTCTTTTGATTTTTCTCATCCTGTTTTCTCCCCATGTGTCTGTAGCTCTACTGTCACAACACCAAAAGGGCTTAAAATATGAAAAATAACTGAAATACCTTTAAAAAAAAACAACCCTAGTTTGTTAACATGAATGGATGTTAGTCTTAGAAATGTTTTTTGCAGTGGTGCATCATGACTTTAAATGACTTGAACCCCTGGTCCATACTGCCCCCCACAGGTCAAACCATGTCAAAGCATATAAAATGATCATGGCCGTGCACCTGCTTCTCTTGTGGTAACTTGTGTCTTCATCTATAGAAGATGCTTCAGATAATAAAACTTTATCATTACTCGTGTAGATTCACCGATCTGCCACAGAAGCATATGTCACTGTGCAACTTTGGCCTTTAACTTCACAAAGCTGCACTTGTGATGATACTTGTCGCTTCTGTTTGGTGACGTCTAATTTAAGAAGGCTTCAGTGTTTTAGTGGTCCCACATTGTCGTCACCATGTCTGCTGAGCATGACCTGTGTGTCAGTGAAATAACAGACACTACTGATTTCCACCCAGTAGGCAGTAGTCGTGGGTTAATCGGGGGATTCAAGAGATATTTTCGGAACAACTTGACTACAATGTAGACTGGAGAATGACTGTTGCCCTGAGGTACCCTCTGTGTTTGTGCCTTAAATAAGCCAGAGTTATAAGAGGGAACTTGATTCATGACCCAGAGTGAATCCCCCTTCTACTTCCAGTTTCCCGACAGCTTGTGACCTGAGGAAAGTTTAGCTAAGAATTACTTCACTCCAGCATATATCCTTATTGTCACTGTGTACAGAGGTGACATCTCTGGAGAACCTGTTCATTATCTGTGTGGTGGGTTTTTTTTTTTTTTGGTTTTTTTTGGGGGGGGGTTTACAAAGGGTGTATACTTACACATTTCCTTTTTGTAGCTGCAGTTTCTTCTTTTTAAGGCACACAAGGATACACAGCACACACTATTAATGTAGTGCACAACTATTATCTGAACCACACACACCCACACCTTGTGACTAGCCAGACAGCCCGCCAGTTTCATGAAATCTTTCCTATCTGATGCAGCCTTCTTTTGAACACATGCGTCATTCAGAGTTGATATCACGCAGTCAGCGTCTCAGCAGCTTCCTGATTTTCTTTTAACCCCTCTGGATGGACTGATTCTGTGCAGATCACAAGCTGCAATGTTTTTTGTTTCCATCTTAACTTGTCAGAAGCAAAGGAAGAAGAATTATTATTGTAGAAACATCACTTTATCTTAGATTGTTGCCATGAAGTAGGCACCAGTATTGTATTAAACTCCATGCTTTTTTTTTTTTCAGATGGTCTCTGACAAAAATGATTAAATGGATGCTGACCACATAGTACAGATGCAAAGTATTCTTTTAATTGTTGTGTGTAGCGCAAATAAGTTTACATCATCAACACAGGATTTTCCCAATGGCATTTTGCAAATTAAATACATATTGCATGGACATAACATTTCCTTAACAGCATGACAATTAACACAAAAGAAAATAAATATTAAATACCATAAATAAGCTTGCATTGACACTCCAGCCACTTTTACACTTACATTTGTTTTTCTCAGGAAACTGACTGTGTAAGGCCACCTTCTGGTCATCTTCAGAATGCATTGATTGGTGTCCTCTTCGTGCACACTTTGCTTTTTAGATTCCTCAGTTCTTTGGAAACGTTTGACATGAAATCCTTGTAGGTCTTCAGGACCACGCAGCCGTACACCTTCTGCTGGAAGACGTTCTGAGCTGGTGGTAGTGTTGTCGGCCCCCCTGCCGGCTCAGGTATGGGCAGGTTCGGGAAGAGGCTCTGATAAAATGTGTTCATGAAACTGGCCAGACTCTCAGTGCGACCCCAGACTCTGGTGAGCTCTTTCAGGAGAGGGCTGCCAGGCGATTGTAAGTCTGTCTGCTGCTTGTATACACGTTTAAAATGTGGGAGGAAAGCTTGGAGATGCGTGTAGATGCTTGCTATCCTTGCTGGGGGATCCAGCCCAGAGATGTTGGGATCAGGGATGTCGTTCACCGACACCTTGCAGAAGAGCTCTGACATTTCCCCTTGAGCGGCTTTCTGCAAACAAGGGGAAAAAGGAAAGGAATCAGCCTACATAGCTTATAAGTGCACAAGCATATCTGCCAGTATACTGGTAAAGTAGAGCAGTTTTGTGCCTGTAGTCTACTCACATATGTCTTGATTAGGTCACCAGATTCCTTGTGTACAATTCTGGTGATCTTCAAAGTCCGCTGCAGGAGATCCCCACACTGCTGATTCGTGCTTAATGCCACAGTTTTTGTTGAATCAACAGTCATAAGCAGCAAGAGAGACAGTAATGCTGAGGAGAAATGAGCTAGTCAGTTATGGTTATCCTTCATCACATTGGTGGGTTTAAGGGGATCTTTGCATAAAAACCAAAAAAGAGATTTATTTTTTTATTTTTTTTGTACACCAAATATGTGGCAAGTAAAAGCTTACGGTGCCATTTCCAATACTTTATGTAGCATTATGTTAAGAAACTAATAAGCATTGTAATTTCCTTTACTGACGCAGAAAACGGCAAACTGCTCTTAGTTTCACAACAGCTGTAAATCGCTAAAAATAACCACATCCCTATTGGCAAAAAAAGATGCAAAAGTGTTCAGTGCTTTATATTTAAAGCACAAAAAGGAGACAAAAAACTATAAAACTTACTTGCTGCTGTTTCCATGAACTGCTGAAAATGCATATTCTTTACATGACCATTCATTCTCCTCTCGGTATCACAAGCAAATTGTGCGGACTTGTCATAATCACACTGCTTTAAAACTTTTTAAAGACAGAAACCGCACATTTGTCAGAGGAGGAAATGACGTGCACTTGTGAGGCAACCAAATTTCCCAGAATTTCCTCCTTTCGTTCACATGTGCATTTTTTTTTTTTTTTTTTTACGCCTATAACAAGCAAAGTGGGCAATGTATCTAAATGCCTGCTCCCTTAATAGGCATGTTGGGGCATTGTCTGCTCGTTAGGACATGTATGGACATAGGGTTGTGGCATTTAAAATAGGACTTCCTTTTTTGTGCATGGAAAATAAACACTTATATTTATACATTTCAAGAAAACTGAAAGAGTAACCTGCAGAATTTAGAAAACAGTGTCATACATGAATGAAAATCATATCAGGACTGAGGTCAACCTACACTTTTCACACATGCTCACCAAATTGCTTCCTACCACTCTTTAAATGGCAAGGGTGAGAAACTTGTCGGTGTGTGGAGGTAAAAGTGAGCTCATCACTGTCTGTGCAAAGCTGGGTGTTGATAATTTTTTTGTTTGTTTGTTTGTTTTATAGATCTGAAAAGAAACTTAACGTTTCTTATTTTCTATGTATAGGCATTCACGCAGGAGGAGTCTGATATTACTCAGGATCTTTCAGTTTGTGTTTAGCTTTCAGTGGCTTCGCTGGCGCAGGCATGACCCCAATGATTCAAAAACAAAACCACATGACTAAAGTGTCCTGCTGCTACCTGGCAAAGTTCACTCTGACATAACCAACAAATTCTAAGGTAAGTGCTGAGGAAATGTTATTTTTGTTTGGACCACAAATGTGAGGGGGGATTTTGAAAGCTGTTTCATATTGGGGTTTTTTTCTACCTTCTGTTAAATTTGGTAAATAGTTCTCCTGAATTTCATCTCTTACTCCTAAATCCCCTCCTAAGACCACGTGTCTTTTTGCAACAATGTTTTCAAGCGGGTGTTTGCACAGGAAGCCGGCAGGGTCACAGGAAACAGGTCACATTTCTCAATCACAAATTTTCTGAGTGCGTAAAAGGACTGGGCCTGCTTAGGTAAAGCATGCAATCTGTTGCATGGGCTGACTTTAACACTGGATGATCTCACTGTGACATGCTAGTGTGGCGTGTCTTCCAGAGATTTATGAGTAAACATTAGACATCTCGCAGGATGGGAAAATATGAAAATAACATAAACTGGGCTTTTTTTGTTTTTGTTGTTGTTGCTAATCGTACAGTCATCCCCCAACACTTCTGCTTGGAGACACCCAATGACGTCTTTTTGGCTCACTATCTGCATCACTAGGTTTCATTTTAGGTCAGACTGCAGGTCAGACTGCAGGTCAGACTGCAGGTCAGAGGTCAGACTGCAGGTCAGACTGCAGGTCAGAGGTCAGACTGCAGGTCAGACTGCAGGTCAGACTGCAGGTCTGCAGGACAGAAAAGTGGCAATCTCCTCTGAGGTAAAAGCAACAGGTAAACTTTTCACTGAAAGTGAAAAAACCTCATTATGAGCTGGCACCATCCCTTTGTTTTCTGTTGATTATCACATTTTGGTTTCAATACCCTAGATGTATTATTGCTGAACTACTGACTACTTGAGAAAAATGAGGGGGAACTCAATGCGCCACATCCCTGTCAGCACTACTTCAGGTAAAATCTAACCACTCTTTTGCCACCTTCAGGGGGTTTCCAGTTACCCCAGGGGATTAAAGAGGGGTTGCGGCGAGACTGGCAACTGCTGCAACAGATGTCGGCAGTTCAAGGAAACTACAGTGAGATTCCTGCTCACATATAAAGTAGAGGCATGCTAAAAAATAAACCACACTCACTACCTAAATCAAGCAGGCTTTCCCTGAAACGTGAGGAACCTGGACGCTCTGCAGTGCAACTTCTCTCTCACTTCTTGCTCCAACTTCAGGTTTCTGTTTTCACAAGTTAACAAATGTGTGTTTGCATGCTTGCAACCTACAGTAAATTATGATAAACAGCGTTTTATTTGATTTGATGTAGGTCACTGTGGTTATAATGCACTAAGAAAAGCAAAAGTGAGACGATTTGCACCACATGACAAAGCTTTACAAGAAAATTTAACCACAAATGATAAGAAATGCACTCTGACATGAGATGCAGGATGATAATTGAGAGTCCTTGTTTTCAACAGAATCTCTTTTATTTTTGTCTTTGAACTGCACAGGAAATGGTGAATAAAGTTCTTTAGGAAAGTCCCCTTTATTCTAACTAAATACATCTTTCTAGTAACATAAAAGTCACACAAATTGTAATTGTTTTGCAGCTCACAAACAAACTTATTCAAGCACCCCAACAGCACTTTTTAAAAAAATTGTGTCCACAAAGCTTTCAGTTACACATGACCAAGACAAAAGGCCTTACTGCATATGAGAAATGCTGTCATCAAATTTCAGAAAGTTCATGAAAACGTCAAAGACTGTAAATCTTAGTGGAGCCGTTCGACCTTAGAAAACAAATTCAGAATTTTAGGTGTAAAACAAGAGCATTTAAGTGCTATTGCGTTCCGACGCTGAATGCCATCGCGTTCGTCTGCTGTACCCCGGGGCGCGTCTTCTAGCGTTCAGCCCTGTGAGGAACATAACCAAACATTAATACAAGTTGTGGCTCTGACGTGAAAAGAAAAGAAAAAATGTAACAGGGTTGCATTCAAGACCACCACATTAAACAATGTTCCAAAAACTGTCCCATGATAAAATAGCATTTATTTTTCCATACATATACTTAATTTTCTTTTAAGAGGGTTTCACTGCATGGGGTACTCTAAATATGTCATGAGTGTTTGAAAAACATAGTAGTGTTTTGACTCAGAGTGGGGGCGGGGGTGGGGTTCAAAATGCTTTACATTTTGTAAAAATCAATCGTCTCTCCGAGACAAAACCCACAAGGCTAAAAGTGGCATTAGAAATTAAGCACCAAACAATTACCCTTCCATTCAGTAGAAATGGAATAATTGTGCAACCTGTTCAATGACCATAACAAAGATGGCAAAAAAAGATGTAAATCTTATCATTAGACAGTAATAAGGAGAATGCAATCCAGACCCACATGCTGTTGTCTGCTGTTGTGGCGTCGCTGATACTGATATATAAAGTCTGTGGTTCCATTCACCTCCATCTTTACAATCTCAAAGTCTAGTGATTTGACTTAGCAATATATTGAGCTATTGTATGACCATTTCTCTATATTATAAAACGAAAGAAAACGAAGCAAAATCTTTATCATTAGACTCTGGTATCAGTAACAGACGAGTGTCTCTGTATATTCTAGCTATGTTCTCATGTACAAATATTGATATCAAAAATTATACAGCACAATTCTCACCATTTTCCTTTACAAGAACTTTGATTAGTGAACATTAAATGATTCACAAGTTTAGATGAACTCAAAAACAAAAATGGTGCCGGCCTCAGTAGGTAAAATATAGATATAACAAACACGTAACTAAAATCTGCTTCAGGCACAACTTAAATAAAGGCATTTGTGAAAATTATCATATCAAATATGGCGCTTATGTCCAGTATCCATAGGCCTAAAAAAATGCTATGACCACTTTTATTTACAAACAGCTAAAATCTCTGACAGATTCATGCTTCACTTCACAACCTGAATTTGTCCTTAAAGTGCATGCAATAATAAGCAGTTTTACCAAGTGGGATCTTGAGTTGTGATAAGATAAATGGGCTGATCAAGCTTATGCCAATCGAGTCTACATATCAAATGAAAGAAAAGATCAGAACTGCCTAGAAAAGTGAGGGTCCACAGTATACTGTATGCATAAGCACAAAATGGAAGTATGACGGGAAAATAAAAATAAAAAAAAACTCTGACTATCCAGTGACCCCATACAGTAATATTCACATTCAGAGAATAAAATAAAGAGAACAAAATGAAACTAGTAAAAAACAAAACAAAACCGAAACAAAGCAGCTTAACACCACGGGGGAATCCGTAGCTCACATTCCACAATGTCCCTCCATGTAACACACATTAAGCCTCATATGAACAAGATGGGTTTCTACTTAAACATACCAAAGTGCCCATTTTACTAAAATTTCCTGATTTATTCAATTCATACCAAAAGGAGAAAATGGCATGGAGGAAAGAGTCTTTTATTTCAGACACATAGGCTTTTGAGTTACACTGACTAGGTTTGACTTTTATTGACACGTTGTTGTGTAGATTCTTTTGTTTTACCCCCCCCCCACCCCCCTTTAAAGTTTCACAAAAGAGGCTCTCATTGCACGCAACACCCCAATTCAAAGATGCAATATCTAAGAGCAATGAAAAGTAATCCAGTTTTGTCACCCTGGGTGGGACAAACGGTCAAGTGGACGTGAAAAGGGCACGGATATGTTGTCCTTTAGAGATAAATCCACTTTCATCTGTTGTCTTCTTTGGGGAAGTCTATAGATCCCAGGCTTCCAAAGCCGAGGCTTCTACTTTCTGTGTCAAAAGCATTAATTTCTCTGTCCTGACGTTCCAACAAGTGCTTAATCCGTTCGGTACGTTCCTTCTGAAGTGCAGCCAGTTCCTCCTCAATCTGCAATGAAAACACAGCATGGTAAATGGAATTAGATTCATTTTACCTATTTTTTTTAATCTGTAATGGCATTATGGTTGGAGATGCAACAAGCACTGGTTAAATGTTGCCTATATGCAAAGGAGCTAAAGCTATCCAAAACTTGGAATCCAGCTGCCTCGGTATGAGCAAAGGATCAAAGCTGCCATGAGTGAAAAAAAGAAAAACGTTGACGTCCTCGTAAATGGTTAAGTTATAAACATAGTGAAAAATAATGTAAGTTTTGTTACATAAATCCACTGTATCTGCTTTTTTTTTTTTTGGTAAGGTCAAATATGTAAAGGTGAAGATCCCGTAACTTACTGCACTTTGAGGGGAATTGAATTCGCCTCAAAATTGAAAATTGAATCATTTCTTTTATTATAATTACAATATCCTGTACTGAAGAAAATTT